TTCATTTTAATTCTAACAAACCTTCATAATTCCGTTCAGAGAATCGTTCTGCAAATTTCGAAGGCAGATTCGAGATCAGCGTCCAAAACCACGTCTAGTGAGCTACATCTCATTACAAATGGCCACTTCGACCTGACGACCTTCCCTAGTAAGATATGTCACATGAAGGAAGAGATGTGGCTCACCCCGCACGTCCGTCCTCTCCACCACTGCCCCTTGTGCGGCTCCGTTCAATTAACTTCAAAAGTTGAATCTACCACTTTGTTTTCTTCCCTGTGTTCAACATCCCAAAAATGTTGCCGAGCGCGGGAAGAGGAGAATGCGAAACAGTTTCGACTTGCCCCCTTCGAGGGCTTCTTGAGAGGCCCTCAAATGCGTTAGGAGAATGGGGCCAAACCTGCACTTTCTTGGGTCAAAACTGCACGAAAACTTGACTGGAGGGTGGTAACATCCAGCGCCGTCTCCGCACCCTCGCGCTACCGCATGGCCAACAGCAAGTTTCACCGTAGTCATATGCTCTACTTTCTACCCTCTCACTTCAGGTTGTTCTCTAGTGATCAACGGAGGGTAAACACAGGGTGAATGGAGCATTACAAAGAGATCAGTCCACAGTAAACTTCAATTTCCCAGCTGGAACATCATCACTGAATATGCTGCATTGGGTTCAAATGGCCCAAACGGGTATAACAGCCCGTTTGGATCTTGGAGAGCAAAAGAACCTGGCCACTTATGGAGAGGTAGAGCATTTTTGAAGCCACGAAAATGAAAGCAGCATTCATTTCGTTTCAGAAAACTCCTCGTCTGTACGACTTTCGCAATATTTCCAAAGTACCTCCCACCTACTTGTTCACGGGAGGAAATGACTGGATCGCCGATGATGACGACACAACTGATTATTTACTTCCGCAAATCGGATCGATTCTTCGGGTAAGTTGTCTAGGTTCTACTGAGTAGGGGATCCAGAACTGAGAAAAAAACCGATTACGGCAATCACGCTGCCCCCTCCCGTGGAAAATCCCTATGCGTCTTAAGTCCACAGTGAAAGCGCTATTCATTTATTTCAGCTCAACACGCATTTAGCCAACTACAATCACTTCGTTTTCACGTAGGGCCTGCAAGCTGCTTAAGATGTTCACCAGCCCATCGTGAATTTATTTCTGCGAAGTCTTCGGTACCCGCCAATAGGCAACTGTTCTCAACACTAATGATCATGGAGTAAGAGCCAATTGAGTGTAAATATACTGGGTCATGCCATTCAAAAAACATGAAAGCTTATTGGAATAAAACCAAGAAGGAAAAAGATAACTGACAGTGTTTGACTTCATGTTTTGTGCCAGATTGCGAGTAGGTAAAAAACGCAACAGTAGAGACATTGCACCAAAATGCCGCTTTCCTTTCGCAAATGCAACTCACCTAATAGGCTATCACACCCAGGAAATGTCTCGCGATTCTCACCCGGCCAACAAGTCTCTCTCCAGCGTTTTCCCAGCGCTTGCAGCGACGGGGCTAGAGAGGGGCTAGAGAGTATTGTAAGGTAGGAGAGTTTTTTGTACGCTGGCGTAGCGAGGGCACGGGAAGCATAGCTATCGATCTATTTTGTACTCTCCTACCTTCAATACTCTCAGCCCCGTCACTGCAAGCGTTGGGAAAACGCTGGAGAAACGCTGGTGGAGAGATCGATAGCTATGCTTCTCGTGCCCTCGCTACGCCAGCGTACGCTGGTGACGCTGGGAACGCTAGATCGATATCTATCCTTTCCCCGACACTGCCGCTGGCGTACGCTGGAAGCGCTACGCTACGCTGCCGCAAAGTATAAACGCAGCCTTACTTGTTAAGGAAGCTGCCACTGAACCGCTCGTTGATCACACTTATTGTTGCATCGAACCGCAGTCGAAAAAGAATATTAAAATATCGTGGTCCTTGCACCGACACAGAAATCAAGCCCCATGGTTCTGCGTGAGAATCTGCTATCTTGAAATCTGTAGCGTTGGAGTCCGTGAAATACAGAAAGTCGAATTTGAACAGCATCCCAAAAAAATTTATGTTGATAGTTGATTTTTCTCGCTTCACGGATGCTGCAAAAAAAGGAGGGGGGGGGGTGTTTGTGCTTGCTCATTGTTGACAGGATGGAGGTCGTATTTACTATTTGACCCTCTAGGTGCGACTATACACCCACCCCCTTCCCATCTCGCTCGGCAGCAAAATTTTTAGAAAAAGTAAGGGATTTGCGGGAAATTTTGGAAAAAGTGACAGGAAGTTGGGGAAAGTCTGAGAATCGCTAGAAGGGGGGGAAGGAGGGTGTTGCATCGCGGCTTTTCCTGTTGTGTGTTTTACCTCTGGCCCTCGACAAAATGCCCAACAATGATGAGCCTGTTACAACATCACATGGGAGACACCCTAGTTGCGGACGGTCGGGCGTGTCAGGCAGTATGAGTGTGTCATTTGGGCCATTCTCGGGCTTCTTGTTGAAGGGGGCATGCGAGAGAGTTGTACGAAAAGCGATGCATACGAACGATAGGAATACAGTCATATCATTTGCTCGCTTTGCAAAGCTGGTGGAGAGCGGGTTTGGCACCGCGCTAAACTTAATCCCTCGCAGCATGCTACACTACACATGAAAGACATGAAAATCACCGAAAATCTTGAAGACGTCGCTGAGTTTTATTCGAGGATAGATTGTTTCGTCAGACTCTTGAACCCCTCGTGCCAAGTGGTGTGCTAGAGCAGTTAGAGAAACACGGCTGTAGAAGACCCTTTCTGATTAGCGATGCTTCTCTATGCCATGGCTCAGCCTTAGCAGAAAAAGGATCACTAACCCGGTAGAAGTACTAGCAGACTTCCCTGTCACTTTGCCCCATTTCTCTACGTCTTCAGCTCCACTGATACTCCAAGTACAATACCGCTCCTAATTTCTGGTCAATCGACGGTTTGCGACAGATTTTTCCGTCGCAAACCGTCGTTTTGCCATAACTTCTGTAGAAGTGGTCCAAATGATCTGAAATTCAGACCATTCCGATAGCCCTCAAGACAAATCCATTGATTTATAGAGCTTCCACCTTGTCACTTTTTTGACGTTTTTCCCAGGGAAATTGACGTTTGAGTCTCAGTAACCCAAGGTGTTTTACCTGCGGGCACGGCTGCGTCGCAATTCCTTCAGTCCAATTATGATCTTCAAACCAAGTGACACAAACCCATAAATACCAGCATATTCAGAAGAGCATGATTCCGTGATCATTTTGATACTTTTCATGACAGGGTTTCAGCAAGGTTCAGCTGAAAATCATGTTTCACTGACCACTCTTTCCTTGATTTCCGGTTTGGATCCTCTATATCATGACTAGAGGAACAGTGTCTTATTCATAGCCAACGATCCTGGGAAGGTCACATCGGCGCCAAAGAACATGATGAATAGCTTGGAAGTACAATACACGCTGCAAATTTGAAAAAAAAACGAAAATAACACAGGATCCGTTTTTTTCTGCTAGAACTCAACTTGTGTGAGCTTTCCTCAATAGAACCCTATACTATTAGACTCAGCTCGTCGATTTCTGTAGGCTGGCATCCTAAAAACAGAAGAAGTCGAATATTGAACTCTGCTTCCAAGTGAAGTACTTGAGGTCACTCTTTAGCAGTTCAACCTCGCTATAGTTGTAACCAGAGGGTAATCGCTGGGAATTAAATCATTCAGGAATCAAATAACGTACTGTATTGCGTGAGAAGCGATTGAAAAGATTAGATAGTCGTGTTTCCTAAACGCTGCTGATCATTTTGATGCCAATTTCCCTGAAAATTGAGGGGTTTCGCTCGATGTCACTTCCGAACGATACAGCCTTTTCAGTGCGGAAAATTCGAGCTGGTGTTCAAATTCGGACCACACGAGCACAACGGCCCAATGTACCCTGTTTTCTCTAATGTTCGCGAATTTCCAAGAATGAAGTCAAAAAGAAGGGTTTTTCAACTACTTGAAATGGGCACTTCGTGCGATACTAGAACAAATGCTCGATTTTCAGCGTTTTCAAACAGGATTTCCAGCGCTCTGAGTGGCTCCACGAGCTCTATAAGAAAGCTTTGTACAGCACATCTTGTGCCTTCAAGCAATTCAGGGGAAAACAGTGGCATTTTCAGGCTGGTTGTTGTTGTTATTGTGCCAACTTCAAGACCATTTCAAAGCAAATTTCACATGTTTTTCATATTTAGAAAATCCCGGTCAAAGTTACACCATTCGAATCTCCTCTACAACCTTCCGCAGTTTTTCCCGGCTATCTACCCTGTCAGCGGTCAATCGACCTCCTAAGTAATCATCCCACCAAAGTGTCAGGCCATTGATCAGTCTCTGTATTGATCACTCTCAGTAATTTCTTCTACCAACATGGTTCACTGTTTCGCGGAAGGTTCGTAAGGACTGCTGTTCTAGAAAATTTTTCTCTTATTTCAAATTTGGGTTTTCATCAAAATTTCGAAAATTTTGTACTTTGATTACAAACTCCTCCATCACTTGATTAAGAATTGTTTTCTTGTTAACTCATCCATGACTCCATTCCAATAGGTGCATGAAGGTTACTGAGAATCGTGTTTCAACTGAATTCGTTTACTTGGACAATAGCATGGTTTCACCATGTGCAGGAATATTAACTGTTCAACAGCTTTGGATTTCCGGGAATCGCCATCGTTCTGGGTTTACAAGTTTCTGGGTACCTACTTCTTCCAGTGCTCCATAGCATAAATAACAATATAATTGCTCTCCAATCGTTTGCAAGACGGCCTCCATCCAATCGCAGCTGCCGACCTCGGCGGTACCTGCGCTTATTACCTTAGGACCTTTTTCGCATATCGTCAACTGATTACGAACCGAATGTGCTTGAGATTTTACAACTTGTTTGAATGGAGTGGGTCCCAGTGCGAGGCTCAAAATAAATTCTTCTACGAAATGTTCGCCATGATTCTATTCGAAGTTCAGGATGACAGTTGAGGATTTTTGAGCTCTACACGGCCGGAGCTTCAAGCGGAATCAGTTGCTTAAAGACAACATAGTACGCTCACATACACTGAGGGTGTATGAGACTATCAGTCCCCCAGCTGTCGATGTGTCGTGGTCCCCCCGCCCAAACATGCCCAGGAATGGAGATATAGGACCGTGAAACACGCGCTAATTCCTCCATGCTCGGGACTGTTTCTTACACCTTTTTGCCGCGCGCCCTGCATTCCCGTCTTCATAACATATCCGTTGGTAAGCGCGCGTGTCGCGCTGCGGCTCCTTGGCACTTTGCCAAGTCCTTTAATCGCGTCTTCAAAATACAAGTAAAACGCAATTTCCTGATGCGGATAACATTGGAGGTGCTACAAAATAAGACAGAAGATGATGACGAGGGTCAGAACTCAAAAGCAACTGTGCCACTTCTGCAACATCCCTCGGCGGCCGCGTATTTTCACGAAACATGAAAGTAAACGGCAACTCGTGTAGTTTGATACAAGCAAAAGCGCAGTTTTCACTTGATGCGAATAAAATTGAACAGGTGTTGCTCATATCTTCAAAATCACATCCCAAGAGATTTTAAGATGGCACACAGGCTAGAAATGAAGCCACACGATGTAATATGTAAATAAGCTAAAAATGAAAAATCAAGGAAAGGCCCAATATTAGGTGGAAAGCGGCTGTAATGTTCTACGATAGCGCGAATCTCCGGCGCCAAAGCCATTAGAATACTTGGAATAAAACTAATGGACGCTTGATTGTTTTATTCCCATGTTTCTGAGATGCTGCGGCCTGCTGATGTGCATTTCTGCGGATGCCAGCCGAATTGTTCTTAATTCGGCCCTCGCCATCATCTTGTCTGTGGTGTCGTTATTTTGTTATTCTGATCCCATATTTTTATCTCGCTTAGTGTCTCAGATAATTTCGTACTGATTGAAAGCTCGATTAAATGACTTGGGGCAAATCCATAGTATGCCCTATACTACGATTCGCGCGCTTGCAACGGATGTTATGAAGGGCGGGAATCTGCGCCGCAAAAGGTGTAAGGCGGAGCATGGAGGAACTAGCGTGTTTCACGGCCCTGTATCTCCATTCCTGGGCATGTTTGGGCGGGGGGACCACGACACATCGACAGCT